TAGGCTCCAGGCTCTGAGCCATCAGCCCAGAGCCTGACGCGGGGCTGGAACTCACGGACCGCGAGATCGTGACCTGGCTGAAGTCGGACGCTTAACCGACTGCGCCACCCAGGCGCCCCCATAAATTTATTTTAAAAGAAAAGTTTATATCACTATAATAAACAGAAAGTCGATACCATTTGATATAACCAGAAGGCAACTATTTTAAAAAACTAAAAATAATAAAAACAACGTTATTATAATTATCACTTAAAGCTAACCCTTGAGCCCATCGATTAATTAATCTTAATAACAGAAAGAGAATGATAGACATCACATAGCTTCTGATGTGATTAAATTGGTAGTACAAAACACTACCTATGAGGTGATCTTATCAAAAAATTAAATATGAACTTGATCAAGTCTCTAGATTTAATCATCAATCTATAGGAGATTCAAGGGACAGAGGAACATGGTGTTAAATAACACCATGGGAATGTAGCCACCTCCTATTCAAACATGCAATACTCCACAGGACAATTGCCTCGCTTCTTCAACCAATGAGTTGCAAGAGGCAAAAAAATCTGAGGGAGTAAATATATAAATTCAAAAGGATTTGAGGGACATATCAATCAAACACCATGCATACATTTTCATCTGGATTCTGATTCAAATAAACCAACTGTAAAAATAATATTATGAGGTAATTGGGAAAATTTGATCACAGACTGGATATTTGTCATCATTAAGGGATTATTTTAAATTTTTAATTAAAAGTAATGTGTGTATTTTAATTAAAAATAAAACTGTGGTTATGCTTTTTCATTGTTTTTTGGGGTTTTTCTGTGGATATGTTTTTAAAGAGTCATTACATTTTATGGGGCGCCTGGGTGGCTCAGTTGGTTAAGGGTCCAGCTTTGGCTCAGGTCATGATCTCACGGCTCATGAGTTCAAGCCCTGCTTCGGGGTCTGTGCTGACATCTCAGAGCCTGGAGCCTGCCTCAGATTCTGTGTGTCCCTCTCTCTCTGCCTCTCCCCTGCTCATGCTCTGTCTCTCTCTCTCTCTCTCTCTCTCTCTCAAAAATAAAATGAACGTTTAAAAAAATGTAAAAAAAGAATCATTACATTTTAGAGATACATACTGAAGTATTTACAGATTAAATGACACCATGTTTGGTGTTAGCTATAAAATAACGTGGTGGGGCATTGGGGGTGTAGATGAACCATTAATTGACCATGAATTGATCATTGTTGAAGCTGAGTGTGCTATGTGGGGGTTCATTATATAATTATTCTACTTTTATAGATGCTAAATTTTTCATAATTAAAAAGATGCTCAAAATAAGCAAAAAGGGTCACCTAGCTGGCTCAGTCAGTGGGGCATGCAACTCTTGACTTGGGGTTGTGAGTTTGAGCCCCACACTGGGTGTAGAGATTACTTCAAAATAAAATCTCTATAAAAACGTAAAAATCATAAAAATAAGCAATGAAATACAAGCAATGATAAATCTAATAAACTTTAAAATAAAAAATATATATATTTACAGGGGTGCCTGAGTGGCTCAGTTGGTTAAGTGTCTGACTCTT